TATAAAATGACATCATAAAGAAAAAGGGGAACCCGGTAGGGGACATGTATTGCTTATGCAATACTCTCAGAATGCTTGTTTTAGTATAAAAAGGTAGCCCTTGGGCCAAGGATACCCTGTGACAAATTTGGTACCGATTGGCCAGGGGTTCTTGAGTTATGGCCCATATTGAAAAAGTTTACGACACCGCACAAATGGTCATAGCATTAGCTCTTTGAGCCTTTGGCTCAGAAGAGCTACAAAACCATTTTAGCATATAGGTCACTTTCAAAGTCACAAGGTCATTGACATTGTATTAATTCAAAGAACTTGATTAGTCAAGTATGCATACCAAAAAAGAAGCCTCTATCTCTCGTAGCTCAAATTTATGGTGAAGGTTAAAAAGCTACCGTATAAGTGGAAATTTTAGCTACGCAAATTTAGCAATTTGTCCTTAAAAAGTGGTAATTTATTTTTAGCGAGATGTTATTTTAGCGATCTTAAAATGCATATTAAAGGAACTATTACAAAAAAAATGCAATTATTTTTTAGCGATATTCAATTTTAGCGACCTCCGCACCATCGCTAATAATGTCAAAAATTAAATCCTCACTAAAAATTCTACTATATGGTATTTTTAGCATATAGGTCACAGTCAAGTTCACAAGGTCATTAACCTTGATGTCATTTGAAGTATATTCATAAGTAGAGTATGCATACTTAATATAAAGTCTCATCTTTTGTGGTTCAAAAGTTATGATGAAGTTTCAAAATACTTTTAGCATATAGGTCACAGTCAAGGTCACAAGGTCATTGACCTTAGTGTGACTTGAAAGAACTTGACTAGTGAAGTATGCATACCAAATATGAAGTCTCTAACTTTCATGTTTCAAAAGTTATGGCAAAGGTTAAAGTTTGAAGACAAAAAAAATTATTTTATAGGTCAATCACAAGTTCATTGACCTTAGTGTCATTGGAAAGAGGTTAATAGTAAAGTATGCATACCAAGATGAAGTCTATATTTTTAATGGTTCAAAAGTTAAGAAAAAGGTTAAGTGTGTAGAAAAAAGCTATTTTTTAGCATATAGGTTAGTCAAGGTCACAAAGTCACAGGGTCATTGACCTTGGTGTCATTTCAAAGAGCTTTATTAGTGGGAGTATGCACACAAAATATGAAGTTTCCATCTTTAATGGTTCAAAAGTAATGGTGAAGATCAAAGTTTGCAGACAAACAGACAGACATACAGGACAAAAACAGTATACACCACAGATCTATCAAATCCTGAGCGGATAAAAATTGGAAATTTTAGGATACCATCCATGTACATAAAATGATGTATTTAATAGCGCAATGGGTATTAAGTTTTTGGTATGATCATGAGCTATGCACGTCCTTGCATCATATTGGCTATATAAAAAAATATTTTTAACTGTATTCATGAATAAGAGCATTGTTATCAGCACAAAGCTTGCTAAAATATGAAGCCCGCTTTTTTAAGTACACATACAGTAATCATATTACACATTGAAATCAGTGAATATTCGATTTTTGGAGTTTGTTATCAAATGAATATTGCTTCAGAATCTGCAAAATTTAGTAAAACAGGAAGTCTGCGAGTCATTAATGCTCACTAGTTTATAGTTTCAAAGTAGGTTATTCACAATTTTTTGAATTTATGATGTCACAAACTAGTCTGATTTTGCATTATTTTTTAGAAAAAGGACAAAATGGACAAAATTTCAACAATTTTATCTATAATAATTCATAGAGTGCAGGTCTGCTCTGGATATTTGCATATTTAATTGATATTATTAATCTACACATTATATATCAAAATACTGAGCCTGCATGAACAAACCTGCGCTCAGTGATTTTCACTCAAAATATTGACACAATTTATACAAAATTTTCCATAGAAATCATGGAAATTTTAGATTTACGTCATTTTCCTGATGTCAAATCAAACATATTGCTGATAAAGACAACCAGTGCTATGAAGTCAGCATGTATCCCCATGTTTTAAAACATAATCAAATCTTACTCCTTCAACAGGTCAAAGTTTTATTTTGGAGCAAATATTGGTTACTATTGAATAAAGTTCTTTGTAACTGACATATAAACAGAAATTTGACATCTGATTCAAACAGATATGAATCCAACCAGATGGCATGCCTACAGTGTAACCAAAGGCCGCTAAAATTTCAAGCATCTACAATGAGTAGAAGATGAGAAAACTGCAACAAAATTTTGTTACAGACAGACCCACAATATAAACAGGAAGTTGAAAACAGATTCATACAAATATCATGGCATGCCTAAACAAAGACTATGCTAAAATTTTAAGCATTTGCGGTGAGAAAACAGACAGAAATTTGTTTTGGACTGACACACAGAAACACAGACAGACATACAAGGGTAAAACAGTATTTCTCTTCTCCTTCGAAATGTGGGCCTTGGGGTATAATAGCAGGTTAGGTACCTTTTCTTATTCGGGATTGTAGGTTCCGATAAATATATAACTGAAAGCCCTGAATTATATTTTAAATTTTACCCTTACATCCTTACAACATGTTACGCAAGAAAGATCATGAAAGATCAAGATATTTCTAAAGAACAATTCTTTTTAAAGCTACCTTATCTGACTGGAAGACAGTTTTTCAGTTCATATTTCAATGTAGGGGGGGATATTAACCAAAACATTGCATTTTTTAAAAGCAATTTTGTATTTTTTCAACAAGAAAAAAACTTAAGACAGAAATATAGGTCTTGATTAGATATGACATTAATAATTTCAAATCGCTTACATCTTTCTTCTTGCTAGAAGCCAGGCTAAGGATTACCTCCCCTGTCTCATCTATAAGGGTAATCTCTTTTCTAAAAATCTCTTCATCATCCCATTTTGCTTTGGCTCTGGTTTTTTAGTCTTTTTCAAGATTGCCAATATATCTGAAGATTTTGAACACCAGTTTAAAATATTGATGTATATATTTACAAGCAAATTGAAATTTATGAGCTCCCCCCACCCCCTTCGGATGCATTTAAAGGTACATACACACAAGATTGCCGCTTTTCCTAAGTATTAAAAATAAAATCAAAATTTGTGAAAGTGCAAGGATGTGTCAATCAAACCCATCCAAAGTCTAAATATCTTTTAGATGAAATAAGAATTTTAATTCATTTTCATGTGAAATGCGATTACAATATATAAGTCTTGATATTCTACAGAACTGATAACTTCAAATCTGTGTCTTTGCACCTTTAAAACCTCACCAAATTTCTGGGCATCCAATAAATTCTGAGAGGCCTGCCGAACCTCCCTCAGACATGTGGGTTTCAGATTCAAACCTCCATTTCTGCTTGTACCACTGCTATTCCCTGCTTTACTGACTTTCTTTTCACAACTTTGGACAGTTTTTTTATCAAGACAAATGATTTTTCCATTAGATGCATCTTGAAATTCTGTGCCTTCTGCAAAGTGAAGCTCATATCCATGGCCCACATTATTTGTTTTGTAGACATTCTTAATTTTGGCTCCTTTAATATAATATTCCTGAAAAAAAAAAAAGAACATGATCTTTGATCTTCATCCATGATCAAATCCTAAGGTATCAGCTGGTAGTTAAATAATAAGTTAGAACCTTTTCTTTCCAAGGAAGCTACAAGAAAGTAAAACTTACATGAGGAATGCCAATTATAAACACAGGGAAGGTATAAAATTATAATTGATACATGTTATAATTGACAAGAGGCCCATGGGCCACATTGCAATGTGGCTAGGAAAAAAGCAGAAATCAATTATTATTGACAAGTTTAAACCCAAAAGTGGTCCCAACCAATCCTTAAAAGGGAGAGAGTATGATTTGAACAAACTCTGAGTCTACAGAAGTAAGGATGATGCATTTTTTTTAATTACCTGGCTTTATCGTCCTTTACATTTGAACTTACATTGTGGCCCCGCCATACACCCAGGGGTCATGATTCAAACAAAATTGAATCTACACTATCTGAGAATGCTTCCATATGATTAGGACTGATCATGGCTTTGTTATTTTTGAAATAATGATTTTTAAAGATTTTTTTCTACATGTTTCTATTTGAAATACTTGGATTCCATGTTGTGGACCCACCCTACCCCAGGGGTCATGATTTAAACAAACTTAAATGTTCACTTCTTGAGGTTGCTTCCATAAAAAGAGGCCCAGGGGCCACAGCGCTCACCTGAGCACATCTGGCTTGAACTGCACCCCCCCCCTCCCCCAGGTGTTCATCATTTGAACAAACTAGAATCTACACTACCTGAGGATGATTCCATATAAATAACACTAATCACAGCTCTGAAGTACTTGAAAAGAAAATTTTAAAAAGTTTCCCTATATATCCCTATGTAAAACTTGGTTCGGCCATTTTGGCCCCACCCTACCCCCGGGGGTCATGATTTTAACAAACTTGAATCTACACTACCAGAGGATGATTCCACATGAATTTCATCTTTCCTGGCCAGTGGTTCTGGAGAAGAAGTTTTTTAAAGATTTTTCCTATATATTCCTCACAGGCACTGTTTCTATAATAAATTGTTGACCTATAGTATAATAATAACATAAGGAAATGAGGAATTATTATTATACTATGGGTCAAAACTTTATTATAGAAACAAGTGGCTGTGATATTCCTAAGTAAAACTTAGGTCGGCCATTTTGGCCCCACCCTTGCCCCGGGGGCTTATGATTTGAACAAACTTGAATCTACACTACCTGAGGATGATTCCAGATGAGTTACATCTTTCCTAGCCCAGTGGTTCTTGAGAAGAAGATTTTTTATAAATGTCATTAATTTTTCTCTAATTCATAATTATCTCCCCTTGGAAAAGGGTGTGGCTCTTCATTTGAACAAACTTGATTCCCCTTCACCCAAAGATACTTTGTGCCAAGTTTGGTTGAAATTGGCCCAGTGGTTCTTGAGAAGAAGATGAAAATGTGAAAAGTTTACGACGACGACAACGACTACGACAATGACAGACAACGGACAAATTTTGATCAGAAAAGCTCACTTGAGCCTTCAGCTCAGGTGAGCTAAAAATATCATTATTCATGCCTTTGCTATTCTTGAGAAGAAGATTTTTCAAGGATTTTCCTATTTATTTCTATGTGAAATTTTGATCGGCCATTGTGGCCCCGCCCAAGCCCCAGGAGTCACGATTTGATCAAACTTGAATCTCCACTACCTGAGGATGCATCCATAAAAATATGGATATTCATGCCTATGCTATTCTTGAGAAGAAGATTTTTAAAGAATTTTTCTATATATTTCTATATAAAACTTTGATCAGCCATTGTGGCCCCGCTCTACCCCCAAGAGTCATGATTTGAACAAAATTGAATGTCAACTACCTGAGGATGCTTCCATAAAAATATGATCAGTCTTGCCTATGCTATTCTTGAGAAGAAGATTTTTAAAGAATTTTTCTATATATTTCTATATAAAACTTTGATCAGCCATTGTGGCCCCGCCCTACCCCCAAGGGTCATCATTTGAACAAACTTGAATCTACTTTACCTGAGGATGCTTCAATATAAGTTTCATCCTACCTGGCACAGTGGTTCTGGAGAAGATTTTTAGATCATTGCATCAAATTCTCACTACTGGTATTTCTAAATTATCTCCCCTTAAATACATGTAAAGGCATGGCCCTTCATATGAACAAACTTTCAATCCCCTTCACCTAAGAATACTTTATGCCAAGTTTGGTTGAAATTGGCCCCGTGGTTCTTGAGAAGAAGTCGAAAATGTGAAATGTTAACGACAACAACAAAGACAGACAATGGACAAAATTTGATCAGAAAAACTCACTTGAACTTTCGGCTCAGGTGAACTAAAGTATATGATTTGTCAAACATGGTAAACATGGTAAAAAAAGGTTTTTAGTTATAGCAAACATAATCATAATGAATTGATTCTTACAAAAATGTGTTTTTTCGTTCCCTGTTGTTCTAAAATATATAATTATCAACTTGACAATTATAACAATTTATGTCATTATTCAGGAATTAAATGTCCCTGGCACTGTAAATGTGCTTTATTGTACAATAAAAATGCATTAGAACTAATTTACCGTAAAATCCCTTTTAACCGCCCCTGACCCTAAGCGCCCCCATGGCGTTTTTTCCATTGTCAGAAATTAAAATAAGGGCCTCCTCTACAGTGATCAAAATAATATAGCATCGTATCAAAAGTCTGCCACAATTTGAAGAAAGTAATCATAAAACTTGTCTATTATCCGATATCTCAGTGGAAAATGAATCATTTAGTATAATTTGGGTGAATTGTCTTCACTGAGGGTAAATTTAAGTTAGACATTGTTCAGTTGTTCTATGAATTTATTTTTTTTCAAAAGATTTTTTGAAGTTAAAATATGACATTAACTTTTATCATGTTTATAATGAGATTACCAAAATAACTGCCCCTCTTTCCATCTTTTCCCAATTTTCGAAGCACCCGGGGATGGTTAATACTAATAGGGATTCTACAGTAATTCACCATTACATGTATAGTAAAAAATTCTTTTAACAAAGTGCCAAGGACAGGTTATTCTACTCGTAAATGTTGTTATATAAGCTTTACAATATGTTAAAACCCCTAAGAGGAATGAAAATAACTTCGATCTAGGTGTCAATCATAATAAGCCTGTTCAGCATGATAATCATGTTTATCCTATAACATTTGACAGTGTATAATATAGTTAAGTTTAACTTTAACATAGCAATTTCAGCTGTTAAATTCTGTAAAATTTACTTTTTATACTACAGGTATATGATCATGTTTTTTTTTAATACCTTACGGTAACAATAAAGTAATTTAAAGATATACAAGTGTTAATTGAGTATGACATCAATTGTATTGCAATTATTTACCCTATTATGTGTCACTTTTGATGCAACACATTCTGCCAGACTTCCAAAGGAAATGCCTACAATTTTGGAAGTTTCATCCTCTAAAATTACCCTGCATATTTTTCCATCGCCACTTTTGAAAGGGGCCACTTTTGTCTTTTCGTTTGTGAAGGAAAGTTTGGCCTTGATCCTCCAGCTGGAAAATAATTGGCAAATTTATACATTAGTAAATACATGAAATAGTTGAATCTGATTCATTGAGCATCATTCATTTAAAAAAAAATAATAATTACGCTGAAAAATGAAGCCATGCATGCCCTCTTGCATAGCAATTGTCAGTATTGGTTGATGATATGGTATTTAAAAAAAAGAATAGTAACTGTGCAAAGTTCAGTGTAATCTGTCATGGTAATATTTATCTGTATAAAACATTAAATATTACATTTGTATCAATACATGTATTAAATACTGCATGCATGTAGTTGTGGGTAACATTTAATATCTAACATTTAAAAAATATTTAACCAAGGCTGCACCTCGATTGACAATCATGACAACAATCAATCTAATTAAAATTAGATCTCTGATCGCTCTCAGTTTGATCGCTTTGTGTAGCGATCAAACCGGAGCGGATCAAAGATCTAATTTTAATTAGATTGGACAACAATTTTCTAGAGGATGAAATTTTTCAGTTACATTTATTATTTATTATAGGATCTTTGACAACAGGACACAGCGAAGTTTGAACTTGTTCATGAGCTCAGTCGATCTCTGGGGTACCCCCTTTACAGGTTCAACTGTACCAAAACCATGAACTATGAACAACTTCAGGATATATTCAGAGGAATGGCTGCCACAGGTATGGGTCAGATGTCAAGGTTAAAGCAGAGGAAAAATAAGATATTTATATTAATTAAGGAATTTTTATTCACATTTTTAATTTTTGAAGTACAGTTTTCATTTGACCTTTTTTTTTGAAGCACAAGATACATATATTTCCTCTGCCTATAGCTATACACTAAAGTTTTGTAGAGCTTGTTAAATTGTCAACAACACTTTAAATTTAGCCATTATTTAAATTGTAGTATCAAGGGGAAAATAATTTATTTTTTTTTTACTCCTCCAAATTTTATCAAGTGATGAAGAAAAATTTTTCTAAATTATCTTTAATTTCAGGATCCTGGGTGTGTTTTGACAACTACAATCACCTGGCCCCTGCGGTGCTGAGTGTCTTTGCCCAATTGATGTCTGCCGTAATGGAGGCTTTGAAAGCTGGAAAGGCAGCAGTTCATCTCCAGTCAGACGACATCCAGCTTAGCCCCAGTGGGGCATGTTTTGCCCTCCTAGACAGTGCTCTAAAGGTAAGCATATTTTGGAGGTCAGGGGTCAAATTCTTCATTGCACTTTTACTGGATTGATTGATGATGATGCATTTTGAATGTATATCTTCATGAGACAGTCAAATTTTCTCACATTTTGGATAAAATTATTCATTTCTAGTTTATTAAGCTGTGCAGAAATCAAAATTTAGGTTGCATTTGTTTCCATATTTAATGTATGTCTCAAATCATATTTGTTGGAGAACTTTCAGGGATTTTTTGATGGACTATCAATTAATTCGTTTTTGTTTATTGCTACAGTATATCTACACGGAGACAGTCAAATTATCTCACATTTTGGATAAATAATTCATTTCTACTTTATTAAGCTGAGCAGAAATCAAAATTTAAGTTCCATTTGTTTCACCTTTAATGGAGGTCATGCTATATTTATCAAGAGAAGATTATATTTTTTGATGCTACCATTAAGAGAATTTTGTGTCATTTTAGGTTCATCATGACATGATATATTATTTAATTAAAAAATATTTTTTTCTATGCTTGATTGTTCACAATTAATAGATATAACCAAAACATTGTCTTTTAGGATTTATACATGGAAGAGAGTTAGCTAAGAAGACTATGATGGTGTATGAAATGTGTCGTAAACTGCTGGGTACCACACAGTTCATATCTGAAAACATGACACAAGGTAATAAACAATGAAAATTTGGCTCTTACACAGTTATGTGTATCCATAGACTTCATTCTAAAAATGCTAGTGAATTTGCAATAATAGATGTCTCTCTGATTTTCTTTCCTTCATTTAAACCCTACAACTTCTAGTCTTTAGAATTTCATGTTATTCAACTCAGAAGTTTGTGGTTCTATTCATGTTTCAGAGGTTGTGAAATATAGTTTAGAAGTTTGTTGCTACCCCCCCCCCTCCCCATTTCTAAGTTTGTGATATTGCTCATAAGTCGATTTTTTTGTTGTTTTCATAGGTTGTGACATAGCTACCAGTAATGGGGGCTGGAGCATTAAGACTCTGAAGGGCGTGGTGTCTGAGGCAGGAGCCTACCTAGAGAAGAACACGATCGACGTGCTGGATTTGGATGAGATGAGCCCCATCAAGGAGGAAGAGGAGGAGGATGAGGATCTGCAGGAGGATGGAGAGAAGCACAAAGAGGAGGCATCAGAAAAAGGTAGTGTATCGACACAAAAGGGGAGATAACTTAGGTCATGAAGTAAGCACGAAGAGGAGGCTTCAGAAAAAGGTAATGTAATGACACAAAAAGGGAGATAACATAGGTCACAGAGAGAAGCACGAAGAAGAGGCATCAGAAAAAGGTAATGTAATGACACAAAAAGGGAGATAACTTAGGTCACAGAAAGAAGCACAAGGAAGAGGCATCAGAAAAAGGTAATGTATCGACATGAACAGGGAGATAACTTTAGGTCATTTGAGTGATGTCAATTTATGTCAAAGGATTAATGTTTGTTGACAAGGTCTATATAAAATTATTTTTGGAACATTTATTTTGTTTTTAGAGAGAGATGAGAGTGCAGTTACTGAATAATCATTGTAAAACTGTGACTTTGATGTGTATAGAGAAAGTTATCTATTTTTTACTTTTTATTAAACACTCAGATATTCCCTCAGTTTTGAATCAGATTTGCAAAAGTGACATTTATTTGAATTTCTTTTATTTTTAGCTAAGAAGGACAAAGCACCTGCCTCTGTTCCAGCAGATGACATTTCCTCTGAAATGAAACTGCGAGCAGAAGAGAAATCCCTAGTTATGGCCATCAGGGACACTTTCCTTCCTAGAATGCAAGGCAGGGATGCAAGCATCTTCTGCACCCTGATCACAGATATTTGGCCTCATGTGGACTTGCCTCTTCTGTTTGGAGGAGAGTCCCCATTGTCTAAAGCACCACAGTCTAGAGTCAGCTCTCGGGCCAGAACAGCCAAGAGTGATAACTCTGCCAGATCACTGAAAGGTGAGTTTATTGTCAAGGAGTATCATTTAGTAATCCTGGTTTGAATATGATACTGTCTTCTTTGTTTTAGCTTCAGAATTAGGAGAATAGTACATTGAGATTTTGTGGATTTTTTTTTTAGGTTGGCTTTAGGTATTTGTTAAATATGATATGGATTTATAAGTTTTTTTCTGTTCAAATAAATAAATTATTAAAAATACATTGACAACAGTAGTGTGTAAGATTTTTTATACCATTTTTCAGACATTTTAGCCTGGTTCAAGTTGCTTAGTTTATCAAATGAAGAATACTCTCCCAGTGAACTTCATGTAATTTAGTGAAAGTATTAATATTGGCTTTAAAATAGACTGTTTGCTGAAGTTTCATGAAGTTTTTTATATGTATATACTAGATCCGATTTTCCATTGGAGAGGTAAGGGATAGATTAGCTGTAATATTTATGTTGTTTTAGACTTTTAGAAACAGCATGTTAACACAAAATTGCTTTCTTTTCTTTTTAAAATTTCAGATTTAAAATACTTAAATATCTTACATACATGAAAATGAAATTAATGTAATCTAGTTCTCTAATGATAACAGTATGGTGATAGGTGTCAGTAATTATTACATAACTAAAACTTATTCTGCAGAATTGTATGTCTGATGGTAACATTCATTCGGTACATGTACCATTGAAGTACTTGTTTAATACAAACACAGATAGATCACTTAATTCAACACCTTATTTAGCAAGTGAGTTATCTTTATAAGCGAGATAAATTTCACAAATTGTTAATACCTCTCTATATAATCTTACGTAATACAGATATACGCAAAGTAATTTTCGGTCCTAGTGATTTCATTATAACCAAGTCTTACTGTATTCTACTCAGTAAAAAGTGATTTACAGTACTTCATGCAGTTGACTCTGTTTAGAATTAGACTGGATTTTAGAGCTTCAGTGGACAGTTTGATAAGAATTAAAAGTCACACTGTCTTTTTAAACTTAAGACTAAAAGGAGTGTTCTTGTAAAATTGGGAAATGGATTTTATGCACTAAGGGAGAGAACTTTTTTAATTAACATTAAATATCAAGTAGATTGTCACTTATTAACATCTATTTATCAGTTTGATTCACAAGAAAACACAATGAAGATCATAAAAAAAATTAAGTATAAAATATATTTTGAGAGAAAAAAAATTACATGTATTAAGATTTGCAAAATGATTTTGCTTCATAAACTTTGGTTTCTCTTATCAACACCAAACACAAAATACTTGATTATGGTAAGTATTTTTACTGCACAAGCAGAAACAATTAATGTGATAGAATGTTGTACATTATTAAGTATACATGTTTTAAAACATCCCTATCCCAATCAACTACCCTCCTACTTTTGGATAATACTTGCTGTTCATTCCAGTTGGAAGTTTGCTGATTGCTTTAATTTATTTATAATAAAATTGTTCCCTTTATGATGTTTGTAAGTTTGAGTTCTTGAGTTTACATTTAGCATAAAAATCTAAATGCATGCTAGAAAATGCATACATAAATAATAACTGCTGATTAATCATGTAAAATCTAATTTAGGGCATTTTAATTAATAATTCTTTAAATAGAATGTATATACTGTCTAGTACCTGCATGTTTGCATGATATAGCTAAAGATTAAAAGAAATGCACTGGATAAATAATGTACAGGTAACTCTCGATACCTCGAAGTCTGCGGGACCGAGGAAAAACTTCTGGAGATCAAGAGTTCAAGTTTTCAAGAGTCCGGAATTTTCCCGGTTTGTTTAATAGGTTTTAAAATTAGTCTTACTGGATGTAATGATTTTCATGCAGTGCCAACCTTTCACACATAAGATTACATGTAATCATAAATCAATTATCACCTTATAGTATTAGTGTCACTTGAATAAACTAAAGCCGTTTCACGAGACCCGCGTCTTCTGCCTGGGGCCATTAAGGTCCAGGTAAAGTAGCTAATTATGTAACTTTGTAGTATACACACAGCCACTTCGAGGTATCGGGGGTAAATTTCAATAGAATATGCATAGCGGGACTGCATTTTGACTTCGAGGGATCAAGGGTTTCGAGAGATCGAGAGTTCGAGAAATCAAGAGTAAATTTGCTTAGTTATATAGTTGAAAAAATCTGGACCGGAGACTCACTTCGAGAGATCAAGAACTTCAAGAGATCGAAGTTCGAGCCATCAAGAGTAAAATTAGCGCCATACAGAAAAATAAAGTCTGAAATATTCACACTTAGGCTAATTAAAACAATTTTACAAATCAAAAAATAAATTAACATTTGTGAAACCATGTTTTGTATAGGAAAAAGTATATGTTAAGCATTAATAAAAGACCATTTTTGCTAGAAAATGTTTTAAAATTTTATTCAAAGACCTCTTTTCAAGATCTATCAGTTGGAGAATTACAAATTCGATAAGAAAATATCAAATACTTTCATTCAGACATTGACCATACAAGCAGAAATTTTTAGCGAGAATGCAATTTGGGTATATATAGTATTAATATAGCGAGATTGTTGAGATCACTTACATGTAAAAAATCGCCTACAATTCATTCCATGTATGAGAAGTTATTTTTTAATATATATACGTATTTAAATCTCGCTACAGATTCCATTTACATATTATATATTCTATCTAATGGTGATTATTTGTCCATTTCATAGTGAAAAAATAGGCAACTCTTGAAAACAGAAGATAGTTCTTTCGAAGACTTATATTAGTAGCGCCCCATTCAGTATGTCCTAGACAATAAGTTAAAATGTCAATCTTTTTTCACCACTTTTGCAGGGAATTCAGCCAATTACATTGCCGACATGTAATGATCAGCCACCCCACTTGCAAACTTTCAATTTGCTACCGATGCCTATGGGGTTTAAAAAAATTTACAATTAACAATAAGTTTCTCATATAAGATTGAGGAAAATTACAGATTTTCTATGGGATATACAATTATATTAAACATGAAGCTGATGATCCGAAGTACCCAGAGAGGCGACGTACAACTTGATGGGTGTTGCTAAAACGCGGAACGGAAAACGGAACGGAACGGAAAACTTTTGTCAAACAAATAACATATATTCGATATAAATCAGATAAGAGAGCAATATTCTTGTTGTAAAAGTCATTTCTAATAAAACTTTATTGTAAACTATTATAAATTCATGAGTCATACACACCCTCCGTTCAGAACTGGTGTACAAGCGATGCCCCCCTTTCAACAGGCCCCGTCGCAGATTAGGTCAAGGAAGGTTAAGTGGTAGCATTTGGGAAAAAATGGTTGTGAAAGAAATTCGACCCCCCCCCCCCACAAAATAGGATTTTCGTGTTTGAGCAAAGGACACATCCCCCTTTTTTTGCTTGTCAAATTTTTTGTATGTTGGAATTTTTTTTACTGACCTCCCACCCCCTCTTTCAATTTGTTTCCAATGCCAATGTCTGTAAAGACAAAAATGGCCTGGGTATGGGCCCACAGCCACATTAAAAATTGATTTATTAAATCTTATGTATATTTTGAACACAAAAAGGGGGCAGACCTATTATAATTACAACTCAGACCTTTCCGATGAGCGGGAAAACAAACTCATTTTTACAAGATCATTCATATACACCCCCCCCCTCCCCAAACACACACACACATATGTACCGCAAACAAACAAAATTTAACTTCATGGAATGCAAAGATTCTGCATTATATCTACCAACTCTGTCTATCCAGAATTTAAATATATAGAAAGCGACTCTTGTTTGAATAAAATTTTAACAAGCAGTGTGTATTTATATAAGAGATGTTTATTCGAGCTTGCTGTAAAGGTTTACCCTAAGTGTAATCTATATAATTTTTTTTACATTTCATTTCTCTTTCCATGGTTCATCTAGATATCAAATATTTGCCCCCCCCCCCCCCTTCATAACCTTTTTACTACGGAAATGTTCGTTCAAGTTGACATCCTCACACTTTTTGTGAATGTAATTAATGTAGTGAGTTAGTGTATAAAAATAGTACTGAAAGATGTTGGAGTTGAAACTTGTCCCCCTCCCGAATCAAACAATCGTTTTCTAAAATGTGTTTTATCCCCCCTCCCGAATCAAACAATTGTCTTCTTTTTGCGTTTTTGCTTGTCAAATACTTTTCAAGTTCGCCCCCTCCCCCTTTTCAAATTCGATTCTAGGTGAATGCTATGTTAGCGATTTTCGTAAATAAGAGACTGAGCACGACAAATTCAACTTGTATTTAAAAGTGGGGATTGAATATGTACAAAATATATCGTTTATTATAAAATTTGTGTATTTTAAGTGATTTAATCCAAAATAATATATTCCGTTTTCCGTTCCGTTCCGCGTTTTAGCAACACCCCAACTTGATTGTATCCATCATGCAGGGACGGAAAATTTTGATAGGTATAGAAAGCGCAGCTGATTGAGAAATTGGTGAAGATGGATTCAAAGTCAGTTAACCATCTCAAATACTAGTAACTGAAGGTTATTATAAAATTAAAAGTTGAATTTAACAAAAATAGATATAGTTCTAAGGTATATTATTCTTTGAAGAGAAGGGAAAGAAACACATTCGTCATGATTCGATTCGAGGCTATAGAATAAATGTAAAGTTTTTTAAAATTTAATTTAAAACAGAAGTGAAGTAATTTTATAATCAATATTGATTGTATACTAGTACATCTTGTCTCGGAAAAGTTAATTCTATAGTACGATTTTCCTCCTTATATCCCTGACATTAAAAAAAAAGTACAATGTTTTCCTATGGTAGCTATAGTATTTGCAGGCGTCGTATATTTTTTTATTACATATTCTTGAATAATAAAGTGACGAGTTCAAAAATTCTTTTTAAGGTAATATAATTAATAGATGAATATGATACCTCATTTTACATTGGAATTCGTGAATATTGTTCCAGCACGTTTTTTTATTCACCTGCAAGATTACGTTGCAATAATGTTGATAAATCAGGCATGTAGTGCCCCTTTTTCTGAAAATTATTCTTTTTTCATTTAAGGCCAGCGATTATCCCCTAATTTGATAAAATTTACTTTTTGCAAACTACTCTAATAAAAGTATCAATAAAATATTTTTGCTGAAAAGAGAATATAATTCTTTACCCCACCCCCTTTAAAAATTAAAAATTATCTACGCATAACCATTTTGTTGAAGGCATTTTTTTGTCCTTTTATATTTATATTTTTTGCATTAATAATATAGTTTCATGGTATATAGACATCCCTTTTTTACTTCCTCGGTAAACGGCATCATTTTCCTGTTGGTCAATGATTCAAACAGATGTGCGCTGACCCAAAATATTAGTCTCCCTGGCTCCGTTTTGTTTAAATTTCATGATAATGCTAATGGCTAATTTCATTTTTAGAGTTGATATTTTATGTAGTATTTATAGACTTACGACAACCCAAGACTAGACGTAAACTTACGACTGTTTTTTGACGTAACGTCAATCGTGCGATTTTTTGTGAAT